ATGATTTTCAGGAGTCCATGGAAATATCAAATGGGACAGTATAGAAGTACTATAGCCCTGTTTAGATTTCAACGTTTTTTTTAAACCTCTAACTTTTCCATCACATCAAACTTTTCTACACGCAAACTTCCAACTTTTCAATTTCTTTAAACTTACAATTTTAGCAAGGAACACAGCCTATGTCCATGACAAGTACGGTGCTCTCTTCAAACAGCGAAGGGGTTATTTGAAGGGAGAAAAACGTGAACTTTCATGCTCCATCAAAAGTCAAAAACTTTGCGTACTCCTATATTTTTTTAAGGAGTGGTACGTAGTATTGAGGATGGTTTGGCCAGACATCATTGCAGGGGTAAGAAAAAAGTACTCGTACTGGTATTGCTTTCGGTATTCGGATGAGACCATTCAACATCTTTGTTCTTAAAAAAGAAATCAACATCCCTATCTCTAACTAGTACTTTGTTGCAAAGATTTCATTTTTTCAATTTTGAACAGCATAAATATCTTGATATTTCTGCATGTTTTATATTTACATGGATCAGCTGGCATCTCTGTTCGCTGCCTATAATGTACTTCCTCTGTTTCATATTATAAGTTGTTTGATTTTTTTCTTAGTTAATTTTGTAAGTTTAATTAAATTTATAAAAAATATAGTAATATTTTCAATACAAAACAAACATATTATCAAAATGCATTTCTTGTTAAATATAATGAAACTTATTTAATGTCGTAGATGTTGCTAGTTTTTTTCTATAAATTTAATCAGACCTACAAAGTATGACTAAGAAAAAAAAGTCAAACACGGGCTTATAATATAAAACGGATGGAATAACATCATGACAATTAGGATTGTGTGTGTGGGGGGGGGGGGAATCTAATGGAACCCGCACCTCCCCCCTAGTCCTCTCTATTCTTTCCTTTTATCATAACATTAAAAAAAACACAAAGTTAGTAAAAAAAAGAAAAAAAAAATCTAATACTCTCATTCATGTGCATAAACTTTATACAATATACTTTGCACGCATAAACTTTATGAATAGAAATATTTTATATATAAAATATTTGAATCCGAATTTGAATTTGAATCGGATATATAAACTTCTAACTTATAAATATTCGCTCTACAAATTTTAGGTGGATAAACTTTAGATGTGTAAACTTTAGGTGTGTAAAATTTAGGTGTATACACTTACTAAAAGAGGAAAATATAAAATATTTGAATTCGAATTTAAATTTGAATCTGAATCGGGTATATAAACTTTTGACTTATAAACATTTGATTTACAAACTTTAGGTGGATAAACTTAGACGTATAAATAAACTTATTAAAAGAGAAAAAGAAAAAAAAACGATCGCTAGCGGCGATCAATCGCGCGTTAGCCTTCTCGGAATGTGTGGCCATGACATTCCGTTGGGAGTAATCATTAGGGAAATCGCCATTTATTAATGATGTTGGTCTACTAATGACCCACATGGTTAACGTTCTTTTTTAGTCTCACGGTTCAGTTTTTATTTCTCAAGTTGGGTTTGTGCAGCCAATTAGGCCTCGTCATTTTGCTTATGCATATGTTTACCCGTATGGCTTACTAGGCCTCACCAAATCCTTATGACTTATTATGAACCAAAAATTAGTTAATAGATAAATCTTTTATATACATATCCTTAACTATTTAAAAGAAAATACTACTATAAAATAAACTATGGTAAAAAAAATCACAAAATCAACTTCAAAATTAAGTTTTAAAATTTAAATTTTAGTTTATAAATATAAACATATGCAAACACTGGAGGGTGGAGACATAACTTGTTTTTTTTTTTTGAAAGAAACGAACATAGGGTAGAGTAGTACCATTTTGCAGTGATTTTGGAAGTCGTCCTATCATTTTTTGGGAGGGAATATCTCTCCATCCAAATTATGATTGGACAGCTGCTTGCCAGAGAAATGGCATATGGCGCTGCATTATTTGTGTCACGAATATACCTGGATTATACTCCATTCGCTATATATAATTAACCTCAATAATCAACCTCAATCAAATCCGAAAAAGAGAGAACAATTCTATGCTGCTCTGTTCCTGCTGCCTATATTCCTGGAAATACACATGGGCATGAAGAAAGTGCAGCTTCCCAAAATAATTGACAAGCCAGAAAAATGTTCATGAGCCTTCTTTTCTCTTGACTTGTTATTAAAAGATATACTAAAAGAGTAGTAGTTTAGTTGAGAATGATATACCTAACTCCACAATGTGTGAAGTGTGTGCATGCGTCAGTGCTTGGCATGTTCTCCAGATGGTTAGAGAGAACAAATTTTAGGTTAGTTTAGTTAAGCATTGTGCTTAAGGACAACCCAATCCGAAAGAGAGCGTGTAATGATTGAGCTGGGCCGTCTGATTCAGGCCCTATGATTGGATCATCAGATCATGACGTCGCAACAACCCCACTAATTAGTGACAGGGGCTGGCAATGGATAGGCGAGGGCCCTATCAATTTTAATTTGTTGGGGTTTGGATAAATGCAGGTACGGTTTCATGTTTGAAATTAATTTGTCGTCCCATTTTGTATAACCTCAACCTATCATAGTCGAAAGGTTCATATCTTTATCGTTTTCTTTGATTAAAGTGGCAATTCTGTGTATCTAGATCAAAAAAGTGATGGCTTCTTTCGCTCTCTCTTAATTAATATAATAGATATATGTATTTGTTGTATGAAAATAATTGGTAGATTTGTATGTAAATATTACTTTCGAAATGTTATTTTTTTGAATTTTTTTACTAGTAGCGTACAATGGTCAAATGTGCCGATTGGAGAGCATATGCACCTGAAACGACTTGCATTTTTTTATATATCGGATAAGAGAGATCAATGTATTTAGGTGCCCCATCTCTAGGTTTGTTTGGTAGTTCACTATTTGCACTTTGTTGAAGGGCCGTCATTACAAAAGGAGTGGGTTCCAAGTAAAACATGTTACTCCCCCCGTCCAGAATATAAGAAGTTTTAGAGATTGACACGGTTATTAAAAAAATACGTAGAAGTGAATGGTGGAGAGTTGTGATTAGATGAGTAGAAGAGGTAGGTAGAAAAAGTAAATGGTGGAGAGTTGTGATTGGTTGGGAAGATAATATTGGTGGAGAAGTTGTTATATTTTGGTACAAATACTGAAGGCTAAAAGTTGTTATATTTTGGAACGGAGGGAGTAAAAGATTTGACCTGGGCACGTTTAGCTAACCATGGGCTCGTTTGGATCCGAAGGACTAATAATTAACCCCTAGGCAAAACTACTTGCGAAACCCCTGGGCTAATTCGCAAGACGAATCTAACGAGGTATATTAATCTATGATTAGCGGATGATTACTGTAGCATCACTGTAGCAAATCATGGATTAACTAGGCTCATTAGATTTATCTCGTAAATTAGCCTAGGGGTTATGAAATGGGCTTTGTCAATAATTTAAATTTAATACTCCTAAATAACAAGATTCCGAAGAGCTAATTATTAGCCCTCCGGATCAAACAGGGCCCATGGCTAATCAAATGGCGATTGACAAGGATCTGTTGCCCAATTGGTGAAAGGAATTTTACAGCAAACCTGCAACTGCAGGTCTGCAATGACGTGCCTGCCTAGTTTGAAAGGGGAGCTGGACCTGAGTATGGACTCCGTTCCATAAAACCCAAACTAGTATGAGATGTGACATAATTATAATAAATTTGGTCAGACTTCACATCCCATATTAGGTTGAGTTTTTTTTGGATGGACGGAGTACCTGACTACAGCGAGAATTCAAAAATCAAAAGAACCAGACCGGCTGTGTTTAGTTCAGCGCAAAGTTTAGATTTTGGTTGAAATTGAAAATGATGTGACTGAAAAGTTGTGTGTGTATGTAGGGGTGGATGTCGAGCTGGCTCGGCTCGGCTCGGCTCGGCTCGGCTCGGTCTGGCTCGTTAGGATAACGAGCTAGCTCTTCTCGACTCGTTATCCTAACGAGCTAGAAACCCAGCTCGGCTCGGCTCGTTTGAAAGCTCGAGCCAGCTCGTTAGGCTCGTGAGCTTTGGGGACAAGAGAGAAAGTGAACAAGGGGAGGAGCCGAGGAGGGGCGCCGGGGAGGAGCGGCGCGGCCAGCGGCGTCCACGACGGTGTCGGCGCCGGGGAGGACCGGCGCGGGCGGCGGCGTCCACGGTTGGTTGCGTCAACGCCGGGGAGGAGCGGCGCGAGCGGCGGCGTCCACGGCCGGCCGCGTCGGCGCCGGGGAGGAGAGGCGCGGGCGGTGGCGGCGGCGGCGGGAAGGAGCGGCGCGGGCGGCGGCGTCCATGGCCGGCGGCGTCGGCGCCGGGGAGGAGAGGCGGGGGCGGCGGCGTCGGCGCCGGGGAGGATAGGCACGGGCGAGCGGCAGCCATGAGGCCGGCGGTGGCTTGGGTGGGGATTGAGGATGGGGACAAGCCAGAAGGGGATTGACTCTAGGGTTTTCACAAGGTGATGGGCTGGGTGATGGGCTGTTAGGCTGGGCTAGGCGCCTGGGCCTCATCTGCTCTGGCTCGTTAAGGCTCGCGAGCGGCTCGCGAGCCAGCTCGAGTTGGCTCGTTATCTCTAACGAGCTGAAATGCCAGCTCGGCTCGTTAGAAAATTCAAACGAGCCGAGCCGAGCCGAGCCGAGCCTGTCACGAGCCGAGCGAGCTAACGAGCCACGAGCTTCCTGTCCACCCCTATGTGTATGACAGGTTGATGTGATGGAAAATGACTGAAGTTTGGATCCAAACTTTGGATCTAAACACAGCCCATGGATCAACATTCAACAGCAACTTTGCAGTCCTCCCTCTTTCCCTCTCAAAATGCCAAACTCACTCAACTGGAGAAGGCTCATGCTGCGAGGAACTTGCTGTTTCTGTTTCGAAATAAACCACTTACTACCAACCAAACACATTGGTGCTCTAAAAGGATAATGTCTGTTCAAAAAGGTGCCGCTTAACAAACCTGTAAACAATCTCCATTTCTTTCTCTGAAAGATCAAATTTCTGATTAACCACAACAACTTTATATATGTTTCGAACAGTTGCTGTCAACTATGCAACGACTTCATGCTTGATTGCGCAAGCCACTGCAACAAAACCAACAAGTACCCAAAAATATAACAGTAAGAAATGGCAGGTAACGTAAGTCGAGGGCTAAAACTGCTTTTCTACCAGCAAAGACAACGCTACTCTGAATCCAGGGGAAACTGTAGTATATATAGCTTCTTTCTGATGATAACAGAAGTGATCCTTGACTACTGTTAGCGAAGTATCCCCGATACAGATTTTAATGGGCACCACCAGCATAACAGAAACGGATGTTTTGAGTATATGCATATTATTTTCACAAAATGCAAAAAAGCATTATTTGGATTTTGGGGACAATATTTTCAACTGCTCCAGCAGTGGGTGTAGAAGAAATACAGAAAGAAACAACAGGTTCTTGTCTTGGGTAAAGCCAGAGATATCTGCAGTACGTCCAGACTCCAGAGTGAACTGAGACTGGCTCAAAGGCTGTAGGTCGGTTAATCTAATCTGTCGTCATTATCCTTCCAGTGATGCAGCAGCATCCTTCTCATCAGAAAAGTAATCTTTCCTGCAAGTGAATATAAAGGTTATGTTGCTCTTATGAGACATTAAATACGAATGGCGGAAATTAGCATAGCTCTCATACAAACCTTATTTTACGAGAAAGCTGATACAAGCCTGTACCAGCCATTGCAACATTAACGCTGAAAAGATTCCAGTTTTTCTGTGACATTATAGCATTGCCAACGAAGAGCAAGAATTAAAACAGGAAACAACATGTGATGACAACATCTCGTGCTCACATAGGTAAAACTCAAATTATTTCAATGTGTAATACTCTCTTTGGCCAGAAATACACATCATTTTGGGCATGGGCAAAATATTCAAAATGTAAACTGGATGGTTCATTTTCTTTTCTTTTATTTTGTAATTTAGTAATAAACTAGCTAAAACCACAATTTCACTAAAGTATATTCTTTTTAGAAAAATGTAAAAGCATAATTATCAAGCATATTGATGCTTAATGTTTTAAAAGGTGAAACACATGTTTGTCTGCAATGACATGTATTTGTGACCAATGGGAGTATATACGTTCAATTTGAAACCAAAATGTAGTTTGCAAACAAAGCGGCCCATGATCACTATAGTGGAAAGTTTCAACATGGTGTGCATATAGACAAGTAAAAAAGGTCTTACCGGTGTGATAACCATACTGTAGCGAGACCAAATGACTCCAGTGCAAGCCACAGCTGCATGCCATCCAACAGAATAAGAATGCTAACAGTGCACAAGAATACATAAACAAACCGATATGGCCCTGATATCTGGAATGAATGAATATGATGGGCTAATGGGGTAACCTAAACATACCGACTTGCTGAGGATAGGATATCTTTTCAGGAGGCTTAGCAAAGTCCGCAACATTGGCAATACTGATACCCCATTTAAATGTTGGAGCCCAGAAATGAACTGCAATAATTAAGGTCATATAAGTTATAGGTGGTATCAATAAATGATAGATATCCATCACAATTTCCTATAGTGAAATACAAAGGTATGGGGCGCTTGCATTAATACAAAAATTCAGTTTAAAGTACCAAGCAAGATTACATTTCCATAGTAATGGTTTATTCAGTATCAAATACCCAAGAATGCAGACAAGGGATGTCAAATAAATAAATAATAAACATTATAGATAGACTTGTATCAAGTTTATGGTGATTCCTTTATTATTTCCATGTTTACATGATAAAAGTAGAGATGATAACCAGGATCAGAAATGATACACAGAAATCTAAGATAAGCAGGAGCAGCCAGGAAATAATAAAGATAAGGAAACTAACTAGTTTTAGGGCCAGCAGGATGGTTCCAAAAGGCTTGAAGCTTTGATGCCATTTAGCAAATGAATGCCTTTTCTGTCCTTCCACAGAAACTGTTTACACTTCCACTGCACCCTACAAGCAGAAAAAGGAAAATCATGATATCTCAAACGGCATACGTGAAACAAGATTAATTTCAGACAAGCCCATCTACCAAGAGTAATAGGGCATAGATGAACCTCAACCAGAATATGCAAATACAGCGTCTGAGATACCACCACTTATTCATATCACACAGAGTTCCATTTATATGTAGGCCTATTCAAAAACAAGCTAGCCAACCTGTTCAAAACCACAGCAGAGGCCACTACAGGCAGCATCACTCCTGACTGCAGCAGCAGAACATGCTGGCGATGAAGCATAAATGGATTGACAACAAATTGAAAACCAGGTTCATTGAACAGTCATAGCTATAAGCTTGGCTCATGGACTAGGGGATCCCATGTGGCAGCAGAAGAGGAAGGCCATAAAACATTGGATGGAAATCAAATGAAATTTCTCCTTTTTTTATTTGGCCACTAGCTTATGAGTATATTTCGCATCACAGACATCCTTTTTTTTCATATGTTTGCAACTTTGCATCGTGGCTATCACTTTTCACAATGGCAAGGGGTACATAAAGATATCAGAGTTACTGTAGTACTTGTTTTAAAATCTTACTTGTGTGGTGCCCTGTTTTAATACCGTAAAGCATAGGAGTAACTTGAGCTGTGTTTAGTTCCTGAAATTGGGGAGAAGTTTGGGGAAAGTTGGTAGTTTGGAAAAAAAGTTAGGAGTTTATGTGAGTAGGAAAGTTTTGGATGTGATGTGATGTGATGGAAAGTTGGGAGTTTGGGGGAAGTTTGGTGTGAACTAAACAGGGCCTTGGCACATTAACTAGTAGTATTCTATATTTTTTGAGATAATGGAAGCACCTAGTTGTATTCTATATTATAAATCAAATAAATACTGGTGCTACAATTTGTGATCTGTAACATTATATATAACTCACATGATGCAGACTATTTCCGCAGGTTTGCATTGGCAAACAATGACAAATGATGAGTCCAAACACCACCGTAAACTATCTACTGCAAAACAATCACATAGGAAAATCGACACCAAAGAATTATCATAGGCGGGCCATTCCATTTTCTCACAACTTTACAATGAAAGATCAACGATAAACGTCAATAAGATGAGAAGTATTTCATCCAATGACGGCGATGAAACCAAAATAATTCATGTAACCGGCTCAAAGGAACAACTAAATTCCAGAATCCTACACCATATTAAACCGTATCAACTACCAAGGGACGAGCTCACAAATCGCCCCTAATTCTGTAGCTTAGCAGCCTAGAAATGGACAGTAAAATTTAAAGAAGACAAGCTAATCGCAGCCCTAAATCGACGGCGAATATGCAGATTTAGAGACCTACTAACAATCTTTAATAAACCTAGGACCAAGAGGAGGGTACGGGATGGGGGGTGAGTACACCAACCTTGGGAATAGTCGTCGCCGGAGTTGGGGAGGGCGGCGGCGCTCGCAGAGGGTGGGAGGCGGCGATTCTTCACCGAGACGAGGCGGCGGACGCTCGCGCGAGACAGCAGCGGAGGAGCGATATGCTCCCTACCGGGGGATTATTTCTTCGATCTTCACCAACCCTCCTCGCTGCAACCTAAAATATTTTCAGTGTTGCAACTTAGAAATGGTAAATTGGGCCCGGATCACCGAACCGGAGTGGTGAATTCACATATTACGGCCCGGATGGTTAACGGGCTTAATTGTTGCCAGTCGGGCTGGGAAGTGAGGCCGGTAAATCAGCCCATAGGCCTAGTAACCATTAGTAAGCCCGATAGAAATCTAACTCTGTTTAGTTTTGTTTTAGCAATAAGTTCATTTTAGGTCTCTTATCATTCTGTCGAGTTTGAAATTGTATCCTCATCGGAGAAAGTACGAATTTCACCCCTTAACTATCGTGGTCGACCAAATTACCCTCTAAACTCAAAAACCAGGCATTGCTCACCCTGAACTTTTAATAACGAACAAATTACCCCCTCGACCCAATCCAAAGCGGTTTTGTCCTACGTGACATACGCGTGGCAATCCAGTCAGTATTTTCTTTTTAAAAAGTTGTGGGACCCACCTGTCATATCTCCCCTTCCCCTCTTTCTCTCTCTCTTCACACACACATACACACACTCTCTCTCTCTCATGGGTCGGCGCGGAAGGAGTACCAAGCCCCAGGCGAGCACCCGACCGTCGTGAAGAAGTGCCGGAACACGGTCAACGGCAGCGGCGCGACGCCGACGCGATGGCAGAGTGCGGCGAAGCCGGCGAGGAGGCGTCATGAATTGGGCGTGAGCTGGCTCGGCACAAGCTCGAAGTGGGGAGCACTGCGGCGAACAATGGTTGCAGCAGAAGCCGCATTAGACCTTCCTTCATCGCAGCGACGTACATGAACGCCATACCCGGAGACAGCGGCGCGCGTGCCGCGACTTTGCCGGCGAGGAGCGCAGTGAAGCCACGCGGGATGGAGCACCTCCTGCTGATCTCACACACGCGCGCGCGCGCACACACACACTCTCTCTCACAGGACGGCGCAACGGTGGGAGGTGGGCGGTGACGCGAGACGCGGAGGTGGAGGCAGGAGCTAGGTGGCGAGTGGCTGGCGAATGGCAGGGGCGAGGCAGGGCCATGACAGAGAGGCAGGCGGGGGCCACCTTGTCTTCCCCGTGCCCCCGCACACTAGCCGTCCGCTCCGACCGTCTGCCTGCCCATGCCTTGTCCCCGCACACCGCCCATCCGAGCCGACCATCCATCCACCGCCTGTCCCCGCGCCGCTATGCGCGCCATGTGCGCTTAAGAGAGAGATGAAGAGGAAGATGAGGCCCTTGACGAAGACGGCGATGAGCGCAGTGCAGTAGGGGAGCGTGCCGGAGCCATGGAGCAATCGCTCTCCGCCCACCTTGACACGCCTCTCCCGAGCGAGCTCCGGCTGCCTCCTCTGCGGGCGGCCAAAGGGGAGAAGAGGGCGCCGACGACCAGAATTGGGGAACCGGCTCGCCTCCGCCTTCGCCCCCTACCGCGCAAGTAAGCTCCACCCACCTCCGCCACTGCCCCCCGAGTGAACGCACGCGATGGAGAGAGAACGCGGGGGGGGGGGGGGTGGCTAGGAGAGGTTAGGTTGAAGAGAGGGATGACAGGTGGGTCCAGGGGTTTTTAAACTTTTTTTCCTGACTAGTCTGCCATGTTAGCGCCACGTATGCTAGCTCAAGTCAAAACCGCTCAGAACAGTGTCAGGAGAGGTCATTAGTCCGGTATAAATAGTTTAGGGTGTAAAATGTCTAGTATTTGAGTTGGGGGAGGGTAATTCGTACTTTTTCCTATCCTCTTCAGGACACCCTCCAACTTACAAAACCATCTTAAATTTGGTTTCATGGTAGCATACACTGACGTGGCACCCTAGTTAGTGAAAAGAAAATAAAAAACTTGTGGGACTCACATATATGTGATGAGTTGACTGCGTTCAACTTGATGAGTCAGCGTGAGACCCACATGTTAGCGGCATCGTGTTCCTGGTCTCTCCTCACATCCCCATCTCTCAGAGCAGGTACAATAGCAGGCTATAAGCCAGCTGTAAACATATTTTAAGGAGATAAATCAGGAGAGAGAAGAGCAGCGGGCTACAGATTTGTAGCCAGCTGTAGCACGGACTTCAAGACGCAGTGTGTCTATGACAGGTGGGACCAGGTATTAATAGTGTAGTATGTAACTATTGTATGAATGAGCTATTAGATTGGCTATAGATGAATTGGAGCTAGTAGTTGGCTATACTATTGAACTTGCTCTCAGGGATGACGAGCGGTGGCAGTGGCTGATGAACTCCCCAACGCCTCTGCACCATCGACTTCCTCCACGGCGTCGGCTCTAGTGTGTGCTAGTTGGTGAAGTCCCCAGGTGGAGGCGACAGCTTCCCATGAAGAGGGAGGATTGGGGAAGAGGAAAGTATTTTTTATAAATTTGGTCAAAGTTAAGACTCCATTCGACTTAGCCTGGTCGATAAGATGATTGTGGCACATAAAACGTGATAGGTTATTTGCACATGACTAATTAAGGATTAACTATTATAAACTTAAAAAATGATTTATTCATTTTCAAATAAACTTCAATATATAAAAAGTTATTCTTTTAAGAAAACACAACATTTAGCGCATTTTGAAACGTGTAAAAAAAAATCAAGGAGCATCTCAGTTCACTGGTCAAAAAAATTGGGCCTAAGAATATTAATTCAGAATATAAAATAGATGGAGATAACAGGTGGTATGGTTTCGCTGTAGACCTCTCACTGGCCGTCGACCCGTTTCATCATCCATATACCATAATCTTCAGACTTCAGCTATGCAGACTATCTCTTCCTTTAGTGGTAGGAGTGATACAAATATAGGCTGTGTTCCTTTAAACTTTAAAAATTCCGTCACATCAAATGTTTAGGCATATACATAGAGCATTAAATATGGACGAAAAAAACCAATTGCACAGTTTTTACGTGTAAATTACAAGACGAATATTTTGAGCCTAATTACCCATGATTTGACAATATGGTGCTATAGTCAATATTTACTAATGATGAATTAATTAGACTTAATAAATTTTTCTCGCAATTTACAAGCGGAATATGTAATTTGTTTTGTTATTAGTCTACGTTTAATATTTCAAATATACGTACGTATACGTAAAAAAATTTTGGAGGAGAAACTAAACACGGCCATAATGGAAAATTTGCCTTTTTATACCGTTCCCGTTTATAAGTTAGGAAAAAGTACGAATTACCTCCCCGAACTATCGCGGTCGTCCGAATTACCCCCCTGAACCACAAAATCGGACATTCTTCATCCCCCAACTATGCAAACCGGACGAATTACCCCCCTCGAACCAATTCAGAGCGGTTTTGTCCAACGTGGCGCACACGTGGCAATCCGGTCAGCTTTTTTTAATTAAAAATTTGTGGGACCCGCATGCCATACTATTCTCTTCTTCCTCTCTCTCTATTCTCTCTCTCTTGCTTTTTCTCTCTCGCGGCTTGTGGGGACGGTGCGGGGACAGCGAGGACGACGACGACGGAGGCAGCGGCGGCGGCGAGGCGAGGCGGCGGTGGAGGCAGCGAGCGCCGGGAGGCGAGCGGCGGGGCAGGGCGGCGGAGGAGGCGAGCAGCGGCGGGAGCTCGCACTGCTCGCGGAGGAGGCGAGGCGGCGGCGGTGGAAGAGGCGAGCGGCGGCGGGGTGCGGCGGAGGAGGCGGCGGCGGCGGCGAGGCCAGGCGGTAGAGAGGGAAGAGGAGGCCGGCGAGCCCGGTCGAGCTGCGCCCCCTCCGCGGCGGACCCACCGCCGTGCGCGCCGACCTCCCGACGGCCCGAGAGAGAGAGGGGTGAGAGAGAGAGAGAGACCGACAGCCGCAGGTTGAAGACGACGACGAGGAGCTCGGGCGCGGTGGCGGCGGCCGCCGGGGGCTCGAAGCGGAAGGGCGGAGACAACCTCTGCCTCCACCCTCGCCACTTCGCCGCACTCCGCCGCGACAGGGGGGCACGGCAACATGGGGGCAGCGGGGCGCGCGGCAGCAGGGGGGCACGGGCGCCGTCACGCCCGCCGCCCGCCTCTCCACCATGCCCGCCGCCCCCCGCTACACCCGCCGACTGCCCCGCCCCCACCACGCCCCGCTGCACCCCGCCACGCCCGCCACCCGCCGCGCTCGCCGTCCGCGCCCGCCGCCGCGCTCGCCGCCAGCCGCACCCCCGCCACGCCCGCCACCAGCCGCGCTCGCCGTCCGCCGCACCCGCCGCGCCGGTTGTGCCGGCCGCGCGCCCATCGCCGGCCACTAATTCGTCGCCCCCAACGACATCCGAGACAGTGAGAGAGAGAGATTGAGAGAAGAGGGGAAGAGAGATGTGTGAGAGTATGACAGGCGGACCCCACCTTTTTTAAAAAAAAATTGCTGACTGGATTGCCACGCGAATGCCACGTAGGACGATGCCGCTTTGGATTTGGTTGAGGGGGGGGTTATTCGTCCGGTTTTCAGGGTATAAAATGTCTAGTTTTGTGGTTTAGGGGGGTAATTCATATTGTCGTCATAGTTTGGGGCGGGAGGGTAATTCGTACTTTTTCCTAAAAGTTATACACGTGAAAGGGCTAGTGTACACTTTAGGCCGAGTTTAGTTCCAAACTTTTTCTTCAAACTTTCGATTTTTTCATCACATCCAAACTTTCCTACACACATAAACTTCTAACTTTTCCATCACATCATTCCAATTTTAACTAAAATTCCAATTTTGGTGTGAACTAAACACACCCTTAATACCACAGAAAATATCACAATTTTGTTCAACACAGTTATACTATAAGTCTATAGCCAAAATACCCTCCCCGCAAGAACACAACAGAAGGACGCCAGCAATGGCACATTGATCCCCTGTCGCCGACCATGAATCTTGTGGCCGCGCGCCGTCAATCCACTTGCTCTGCGGCCTGTCGATTCCCTGTTATTTTGCCGGCAGCCACCGGCCGCTGATTCTGCCACCACCAGTCGAGAAGGGAAGATGCTCGTAGACGTAGAGTCGTCGTAGTAACGCTGCATCGGCTGCGCACAGGGTTTGAATTTATTGCCTCAGTTT